GTATTTTCCATTATCCTGACTCGATGCAGAATTTTGGAAAATAAATATATCCTGGGAGGCAACATCACTTACCTGGAGGGATCCTATACACAAATACTGTAAAAAAAAGGAAAAGTACTCACTAGTCTAGCAACAGTAGATAGACTGTAGAATGATAGAGGCAAACTATAACCTTCGGGAGATGAGAAAGCTTGATGGCAGTGGATGTTGGAAATGAATGGTGAGAGAATGAGAAAGGTGACGACTCTGATGGGAAGAATTAAGAACAGACTGCAAGGATCAACACCTAATGAGTAGACTAAATGCAGAATTAGTCAGACCCAGCCTGTAAGAGTAGAAAGAGAAATCCTAGGGAATGAAGAGTAGGTAAGGGAGCTTAGAAAATGAATGGTACAAGATAACTATCAAGGAACAGCATAAACAGGGCACAATAGTCTGTCCAGGTCCAACTGATTTTAGAGGTGAGAAACAGATGGAAGAGAAAAAGGAGAGAAACATTGGTCACCATTCTGAGTGGCCAAAGTCCTAGGGAGGAAGGAGCAGTCAGGATAAAGAAGAATACAAGAATGATGGGAGAGGGAAGAGGAAGAACTGATAAGTGTAACTATCTTAACGACAGCTACCACAGGAGAGAAGTAAGAGGAAATAGGTCTTGAGAGAATGTGGTATAAATAGTAAGTTACCAATAGCTCAAAAAATTCAGGTGTGAGAGCAAACAGAATGACCCTGAGGTCTCAGTCAGGTAAAGGAGTGAGTCTATGAAGAAGGAAAAAATGGAAAGGGGTGGAGAGAACTGGGGAGGAAACACCCTGTGGTATTGAGAAAGGTGAAATGTTGTTGACAAGGCCACACAATAACTAGCAATGGTGGATACAGTTGGTCCACATTTGAACAGAGAAGCAAAGAAAGAGGAGAGATAGCCGATGATAGGTCAGTCAGAAAGAAGATGATGACAGATGGACCAATGTCAAAAGACACACCACTTATCTGACAGATTAAAAAAGTGGAAGAGTAACAGGTATAAGAAAGTAAAATGACTACATGATATAGGATAGATGGACAAAATTATACCTGTTACCCTTCCACTTTGTCCATCTATCCTATATCATGTAGTCTTTTTACTTTCTTATACATGTTACCCTTCCAGAAAGCAAAAAGACTACATGATATAGGAGTCCAATTCTATGGGTGAGGGACCAGACAATCCCAAATATAAAGTAGGAGAGACAAAATTCCTTGATGGAATATAGCCATGCAAGGTTGAAGGTTGGAGAGAATCAAGATAGAGTCAGCCAGAGGTGTGCCATCAACAGAACAAAACATGTGAGTTTTTAATCAAGGCCAGTATTCAAGTTAAAAGAAGGAGAGATAGGTACATGGTAGGCAATAAAACAAACCCATTGAGAAATGGTTCAATAAAGAAGGTCCAGGGTTTGAAAGGAAAGTGTACTTGATCAGGTACTCCATAACAGTTGATATAGGAAACAACAGTAGAGTTGTCAGAAAGGATCATAATGAAATGATCCATGAAGAGAGGTAAGAAAGAGAGCATGCCTGACAGATTGCCAGAAGTCCAAGTGCACTGATATGGACAGAGGACTTGTCCTGTGTCCATGTATCCAATATGAAATTGTTGTTCAGAGATGTTACCCAACCAGAGAGGGAAGCCTTGGTGAAGAAGTGCAGGTCCAGTTTGGATGGATATTATGGAACACTGATGATGGTATTGGATAAGTCCAGCCACCAATAAAGAACCTTGAGTAGAGGAGGGGACAGGTGAACCCTTGAAGTCAAAGGTTCCCGTGAGTGGTTCCACTGGTTGTGCATGGATTATTGGAGGAGAAACGTGTGTGTGTGTGACCTAACAGGATAAATGTTTCAGGCAGTATGAGTAGGGCAGGTGCAAGTCCTTGTGCCTAGTAGCTCTGTAGCTCACAAGTGGAAGGGAGAAGGCTGAGCACAATTGAGAAAAAGAGTTGAAAAATACTCCCAGATAAACAAGATATTAACTATAAGTTAGGAAATTTTGGAAGTGTTGACAAACACCACCTCCTCCACATGTCTTAAGGTTTGTAAAGCAATGTTTTTCACATGCTTTTTTTTTTCTTTTTGCGTGTTGCCTATCCAACATACAAAGTAATTTACATTTTAAGATTAAAAATACTTTTGTGCATCAGAAAATTTTCTAATTTTACATGCAAAATCTTTATAATGTCCAGATAGTTATCAAACATTTCTTAAGATAAAAACTTTATATTTTATCTGTTATTTTCAGTAATAAATCTCTATACTGGTTTGGTCGATTTTATTGATCTCGTAACCACGTTAAAAAAATTAGGAAATAAATATAAATTATGCCTTTTTCATTCTAGAATGACTAGAAATTATAACACGAAAACATAATTGTTTAGACTAAAAAGCTTAAATCTCATAACATTATACATTTATATATATTTATTATTTTTATTAATTAATCTTTCAGCCATGCCTGGCTAAGAATACAGAAGTTATAATGATGTGTCACACAAGCACTCATGTTACCGTATTCAATAATATAAAACCGACCTTTAGTCTTTACAAAATGACCTGTCTTGGCTGTGTTTTAGTAGACTAGTATTTTATTAAATTTAGTCACATTTTCATTACTATACATTATATATGTATATAGATTATTGCTATTTTGAATTATTTTCTTAAAACATAAAACAGTAAATAGAGAAGTAAAGCAAACAATTATCTCTTCTAGTTACGACCTTTGTATTCAGTTGCTGCTTGACATAGGTTGCTAAGCCTTTTAAAATTTTGCACGTGGAGGATATGAAACAAAATAATTTTTTTAGGTTTTATATATACAGTTGAATAACCAATAAATCATAAATTACTATAACAATATCACAGAATTCCACTATAATTTATCAAGCTTGGTAACTAAGCTGTATTTCAGTTCTAAAAATATGAAAGACACAACCTACCTCATTGAAATCTTGATTCAAAATAGAGATGGTGCCCAAACACGTTAAAATGGCTGAGAAAGCCACTAGGGGGACATTATGAACTTTCGTTTTGGTTATTCATGTCATATATAGAAGTAAGTGTATATAAGTGAGTATTTCCAAAAATGGAAAGGTGGGTGGAGTGCCACTGTGTTTGATTTATTACACCAGCAATATTTTAACAAAGTGAAAAGATAAGAGGCTCTTATTTTATATTCTAGCTTGTCAATATCGGAAATTTGAGATCCTAATTCGTATGAAACTATAGATTTAGTATTTTGACTTCACAAACATCTGATCTAAAACCAGTGCTGCATTCAACATACCACATTACACATAAAAATCGATGTTTAACTGTGTGTTTTGTTATATTTACTTTTAAATTAAGTATAATACTAAAATTTGAATTATAATCTACAGGTTGATACCAAACTTACTTACCAAATTAGATTATGTAAAATGAATAATAGTAATATTATAATAAAAATGTTTCATAAGGCACACACATACATGAGCAGCTTGTGGGTAATGTAGTTCATTAGCATAAAGTGAGCTGCACATTCCCCGAGTGATTTACAACTTATAATGGCAAGGATAGTAGTTAGACACAGCTCAAAGGGCAATAAAACAATAAAATTTATTATAAATAGATGTATACTGTTACAAACTTAGAGCTATACTTAGACAAATACAGTTTCATGTTACAATATGAAGTCATTCTAGAAAGAAAAAAAAGGGTAATTTAGTTTTATTTTGATTTTTTTTGGTGGTTATGAGGTTGGTCAAATTGACCAACCTTGTATACAGTTAGGGTAGAGAAAATAACAGATAAATTATAAAGTTTTACTGAAAACAAACATTTGAAACCTATTTAGGAGGTTTTAGAGATTATGCAAATGAAATTTGAGATTTTTTCAGATGAAGAAAAGTATTTTTAATCTTAGCATGGAAATCACCTTGCACACGGACTAGTAAAAAAAACTTGATATATTCACGAAAAAATCTTTTTTAGTTTATTAACAATAACTCACTGAAAATAATATTTTTTGTATGTGAAAGACAATGTTTACTGAAAGTGTGCCACATTTTGTGAAGATATACATACTATATTAAAATTTAGTAGTATCAAAACTATAAAGACTTTAAACAAGTATAAAGAGCTCATGTGGTCAGTCAGATCGACCAAGCCTGTGTTGAGAGAATTATTCTAAGTAGCTTAAATCTCTTAACATTCTACATCTATATATATATCTATTATTTTTATTTTATTGACCTTTCTGTTATGTCTGATTAATATTACAGAAGTTGCATGCAGGCATGTACAGCTTTATGTTACCATATCCAATGGTATAAATTTGGCTTTTACAAATTGCAACTGGCTTAGCTTTGTTCTAGTGGACCAGTATTTTGTACAATATAATCACATTTTGGTTGTAATACATTACATATGTATATATATCATTACTACTTACAAATGAATATTTAAATTTCAGTTATTTTTCTTAAAACATAGAACAGTGAATAAAAAAATATAGAAAACAATTATCTCTTCTACTTTGTACTAGCTTGCCATAATATGCTAAGCCTTGTCAAATTTTGCACGTGGAGTATTTAAAACAAACAAGTCTTCAAACATGTTGACATGCTCTCTGACCTCTACCTGTAGCAAAAAGGTTAATAAGACATACAGTTGCTGTTTTTTCTCTGTGTAACAAGCCCATTTCTTGATTATTAATAAAAACATTTCATATGATATAGCAACTGTCAATGTAAAATGAAGTAACATGAATATTCTTAACAACTTGAGAGGCAAGATAATTTTCTTAAAAAACCAAGTATGGATTAAAATGTCATAGCCTGCCAAAATATATTGTTCAACTACTTTATAGAAAAGATAGCTGTTTTACCTAAAACAAAAGCCATTCACAAAACCACTACAAGTGAAATAAAATCAATACCCAACAAACAATTCTATACATATTTAAGAAGTATGACAATTTAGATTACCTTAGAAAATCAGACAGAAGCACCTGATCCTTGAGAAGCAGCAAGCCAAGCCAACAAAAGCTCACAGTCTTTATTAATGTCATCACCTCGACTTTGGTACTTCGTGTTCTTAAGTTACTGGAGCTCCACAATGTCCTTCTCCCATGCTTCTTCTACAGAAACATCACATCATTACTGTTTCATAAATATTATAAACTGAAGACTAATAATTAAAATCATCTATCAATACATAATAACAAATATTTTTTCTTTTAAAATGCAAATGATGCATGTATGATACAATTAGAGCTACCATAAACTTTTAGTTTATTGGAATCTGAGATGCTGCCCAATGTAAAGCATACTTTTACTGACTGGTTGTAGTGATTTAAAATTAGTAATTTTAACTTGTTTTTGCAGTGTAACAAATGTCATTTTAAACTGTTGCACTTCTTTGTGATAATTACACACGAGAACAATATGCAATAATTTGCTTGACCTAAATCAAAATAGAGAAAAATTGTAATTACAAGAGAACTATCTTTTTAAATAAATAATCTGGAAAAATACATTCAATAAAATTACAAATGTTCCAATGCTGTAGGACTCTATACATAAACAATTTATGCCTTGTAGAGCCTTTATTGGATTAAAACATTTTCAACCATTCTTTAACTGTAGGAAACCCAGTCTATCTTTGGATTATCCAAATACCACTGAGTTTCAAAAAGACTCAAAATTCAAGCACTTTCAATTAGTTGCCTATCCTGAAAATTGCTTGAGTTTTGGGTCTTTTAATGAAATTCATTGCACCTTTAGTGTGTGATCCTATGTGATAACTCTTTTATCAGAACAACTATCACTGAGACAATTTCCAGAGAATTCCATCTTTCTTCAATAAACCTGGACATGGAAAAATCAAATAAGTAGTAATGGATAGTTATGTGAATGACATTCCAGTTGTCCTTTACACCTCACAAATAATCTATATTAATTTAGATATATAAAGGACAAGTAGTAACAAGATGTTTCTTAATACTTATGTAAAAGCTATTATACTACAACTTATCAACTACATTAGCTATTTAAACAATGCTCTAACTGTAAATAATTTTAAGAATGTAACAATGAAACTTCCATTTATTTATACTACCACTGTGGTAACCTACAAGATTTATAATTTCAAAATATGTTGATGGTAACTAAAGTTAAGAAATTTTATATGTTAACCCTTTCCAGACGGATCACAGGTCAAAGGCCAGGTCATCTCGTTTGTTGACCCACATTATTTTATTGCACTACTATTTCATGAATTTATGTCAGTAAGTTTGGTATCAAACTGTAGATTATAACTCAAATTTTAGTATTATACTTTACTAAATTTCTTAATTTAAAAGTAAATATTAAAAAAACACCATTAAACATCAATTTTTATGTGTCATGTGGTATGTTGAATGCAGCACTGGTTCAGATTAGATGTTTGTGAAGTCAAAATACTAAATCTATAGTTTCATACGAATTAGGAACTCAAATTTCCGATATTGACAAGCTAGAATATAAAATAAGAGCCTCTTATCTTTTCAATTTGTTAAAATATTGCTGGTGTAATAAATCAAACACAGTGGCACTCCACCCACCTTTACATTTTTGGAAATGCTCCCTTATATACACTTACTTCTATATATGACATGAATAACCAATCAAAGTTCAGAATGTCACCCTAGTGACTTTCTCAGCCATTTTAACGTTTTTGGACACCATCTCTTTCTTTCGAACCAAGATTTCAATGAGGTAGATTGTGTCTTTGGTCTGCTTCAAATTTCATATTTTTTAAGAC